CACCACAAATCCCAAAATACCTATTTAAGTAATGTATGCATTTTTCAGCTGGAAGCATTCTTTTGTTTTCGTTGTGAAATTCCCCGCATTAAATGTAAATTTAAAACGCTATTCCCGGGTTAACATTGTGAGAGGCCGAGAAAGCGATCAGATAAACTGAAGCGGTAACAAGTTTGACTTGCATTGTGGAGGTTCTGGTTTTTAATAAAACGCACCAACTATCCTGAAGGGTACTGTGGTGTTCTTCAATATCTCCAGGTGACTTTCGGCACAATGTCTTGCAATACATCACAGCCGCTTCCTCACCCACCCTTCCCTAACTTCTGCAATACTACGTGAGCTGTGCAATTCATACAGCATCACTGAACAGCCTATGACTCAATCAGCATACCCCAACAGTCATCAATAAAACCAAATTTAGAATCAAGTTCTGCACTGATCGGTCTATTCTTTCAGTAATTCAATTCAGAATCAGCTTTATTCAGGTAGAATGTCGTTTTTATTTGAGAGGCCTTTCTTTTCATGACAAGCTATGTATACAATGCCTAACCGTCAAAAGAACTGAGAGAGATAAATTACTTGTAAATTTGTCCCCCACTTCTGTCATATGATGATGCGGGTCAGATACGGGTCACGTGGCCAGCGGCTGCCTGTCACATCGTTTCACGGGCTACTTGGACCACAATCAGTTGTTATCAGGTCAGAGTTTGAGGTAGGACACTGATCTGAATAAACGAGGTGTGAGAATGTTAATGATGAATTTATTTTAGTGTAGCTACCAGAACCTCGATACAGATACGTCAGAACTGTTCCATGTTCGGTTCGGAAGGACCCAAGCATTACGTAACAATGTAGCAACTAGCTATTCTTATTCTCCGTGATTAATGTTAGAAAGCTGAATCGTTGTGATCCTCGAAGACATATTAGTGACACCAATGTAAGGTAAGAATAATTTCATCCTCCCACTTGGTATATTGTATTAAACTCAATACAGTCAAGTGACATTTAGTACAGTAGAAAACGGCACATTTAATTCGACGGAAATTGGAAGTAGTAATACAGGAATCATATTTGTCACTTACTTACTTACTTATGGAGCTGAGCCCTTCTTGATGAGAAGCCAAATCTGCAGCTACTCAAGAATTTACCAGCATTTTATGGAACCCAAAGGTTCATTACTGTGTTCGCAAGAGCCCTCCACTGGTCCCTATCCTGAGCCAGATCAATCTAATCAATACCATTCTATTCTATGTCTCTAAGATTCATTTTAATATTGTCCTCCCACCTGCGCCTTGGTCTTCCCAGTGGTCTCTTCTGGCTTTCCCACCAATATCCTATATGCATTCCTCTTCTCCCCCATTCGTGCTACATGCCCTCCCCACCTCATCTTGATCATTCTAATTATACTTGGAGAAGAGTACAAATTATGAAGTCATATTTGTCACAGGCTATGTAATTCTAGAGAAAGTCGTTCCAGTCCAGAAAATAAATGCGAAACCGGCACAGCTTGTAATGGAATTATTTTGCCGAAACAATAAGGACACTTGGTATATTAAACAGTAATTCACTTATACATATTAGGCAATAACATCGCTACTCTCCAAGAACAACTTGTGACCTCCACCTTGCTTCGTGAGGAACTGTCTGGAGAAAATATATCTGTGCTTGATTGTGTAACTGCAAGAGCTTCCCTTCACGCAGTTTCAGCTAAACGAAAAACGCCCACGAGGTCTATACATAGATGTCCAGAAACCCGCATTTTTTAAAAAAAATATATATGAGTTTAGTGATACTAACTTAGAATAAGATTTATGTTAGATCTGAGGTTCTCACAACACTGCCTGTGAAGAGTTCTATTTCCTGGGATACAGTACAGTATAATGCGGTGAAAGTCAACTGACGTTCCGGCGAAACGCGTCACCTTCATTATCAGGGTCAAAGAGAACCAGCATGAAGCAAGCAGCTAGTAGATTTGGTTTCTTGCTTGACGTGTTCTTTTACCTTGAAACTGGAGGCGATATTTTCCTCTGAAGTGTCAGTTTATTTTCACCAGGCTACACGGCGCTTTACTCAGAAGGCAGAATGATTTAGAGCATTTCCTTCTTTTAATGGCACCATAAAAATAAACCCAAGTCATGATTGTTAGCTTTCTTATAAAGTCTGCAAAGTTCAGGACATTTTAGTATCTCTAAAATTTGAACTTTACTGTATTTCAAAGCATGTATAATTTCTTCTGCATTCTGTTCACCAGACGTAAACATACACTTAGTGTTCTTTGCTTCTTTGCAAATTTACACTCAATTGAGTGGATATTTGTATTACTCACCAAAATAATTTGTTGCCATATGACAGCCGTAAAACAAGTAACTGCTATGTGAATATCAACGTACTTGTGTCAGAAACCAGGGAGAGTTCTTATTGTCTTCTGAGATATTACATGGAGTGTTGTAGTCGGTACCTACCAACTAAATGGTGTTCATTCATTCATTCAATTCATTTATTTTCCATATATCCATTCAAGTAAAAAAACCTAGGATGTGGAAATAGTCCCTTTGATAATAGATGTATCCAGTTACATATAGTAAATTACATGAGTTGCATAATAAAAATCACATATATTAGTCAATTAACATAGATAATAAAATAAAAAACTTAATACAATTTCATTTAAATTACCTAAATTAACTGAATTAAATGCATTATAAATTTACACACTTATGACCAATTATCTTTCCTTCTTTCTTTCTTTCTTTCTTTCTTTGTTTCATTCTCCCATAAATCAAAATACATTGATACAAGACTCGTCATATCACAATACTACCAGCAAAAAACATATACAGGAAATTCTACAGGTAAACAATACGTATGAATCATGCTTATCAAAACGAAAAGCTGCATAAAAATCAAGACTAAAGATTACATCAACCACACAAAAAAACCGTATCAGATCAGCACTCATATTACATATAAATTGTTTTTAAAAACCAAGTTTTTCCATTATTCTCCAATCAAGATATTCCCGCAATGAGTAAAAGGAGCCAATATGGAGACATTTTTTAAGGCATGTTTAAACTTATTAACATCATTTATCATGTTCTTAAGATTCTGTAGCAAGTTATTAAATATCATAATCCCGGAAGAGTACACGTGTTTTGGACTTTAGTTAATTTATAAGTTGAATGACGTAAATCCGAAGTTTGTCTGGTATGGATACTATGTATATCAGAATTAAGTGTGAAAGTATCTATATTTTTAACAACAAACATGAATATTGAAATTATATATTGTGAGTAAAACGGAAGAATATTTAGATACCTAAACAATGGACGACAAGAGTACGCTTTTCTAGCTTTCATAATANACTATGAAGAAAGCAGTCTTTTGGGATTTGGCACCGTGTATAAGTGGTGTTAACCGACGTTTCGGAGGAACGTATCGCCTCCATCTTCAGGGTAGAAGAAAAAATATAAGAATTCTGTACCGGTGTACCGGTTCTCACGGTCTCTCCGCTTGCAGAATTCTTATATTTTTTCTTCTACCCTGAAGATGGAGGCGATACGTTCCTCCGAAACGTCGGTTAACACCACTTATACACGGTGCCAAATCCCAAAAGACTGCTTTCTTCATAGTCACCGCCGTGAAAGCCTCAAATCTTACATAGACACAATTGGTTTTACTTAAATTTAGCGTTAGCGAATTGTATGAAAACCACTCATTTATTTTTAGCAGAATCGCTTTCGAGATAGTTTCGAGTTCGGTGGAGTTAGAATTTGAACACAGTATACTAGTATCATCCGCATACAAAATTGGTGTGGATGATTTATTTACTACTTACTACATAAGGCAGATCATTGATAAAGTACAACAGGAAAAAAAAAACAAACGCCCAAGTATCGAACCTTGTGGGACACCCTGTTTAACCTTTTGCCATTCAGAAACACCCTTTCTATAATTATTATTTATTTAAGTTCTTTGATATCTATCAGTCAAGTAAGATTTAATCAGCTTCCCTGCTATACTATTGATGCCATAAAACTCCAATTTAGCAAGCAATATGTCGTGATTGGCACATTCAAACGCCTTGGTTAAATCACAAAATAATCTTCTGACAGTCATATTCCAGAGGACAGTAAATTTGTAATAATGCAGAACTGTCACCTTTGCCCTGTCCTTGCCCTTCCCTTTGCAATTCAGTAATCTATGCAAAACTTACCCTTCATTGTGTTGACTTAGGAACTTTGAGTGGGTATTATTAAGGCTTAGCCAGTGTCTGTCATCTAAAATTAGCTTTGTTATTTGCCTGTAGCTATGTTCCTTGCAGTTTGTGTAAGGTGGATATTCTCTTACTCAAAAAAAAAAAATATTATGTTTTAGAAATTTTACTTTTCTCTAATGTATGTTGATTTTAATCTTATTTTTAAACACACTGTCCATGCTGGATGGTGGATGGAAGAGGCATTTGATTGTGTAGAGAATTCTTGTGGGAGAAATACCTTTTATAATTCGGGATGTGTAAACTCTCTTGAGTTTGCTGTTTGAAAATTCCAAATGAGTAGCAACTTGAATAAGATACCAGAAACTTGTACTGATTATTTATTTCTGTGTAAGTATAAACCCCAAGATAAAAATCAGAAGAACGGTGATGATGATGATGATGATGATGATGATGATGATGATGATGATGATGATGATGATGATGATGATGATGATAGTGGTGGTGGTGATGCTGCTAGCAAAGGTGATGATTGTGGTGATGATAATGTCATCGTTATTATGTTCTGTAATAGGTTTTGCATTTGTTGTAACTGAGTCTTAGAGTACACTTACTAGCTAGATACTTAATAATAATAATATTAATTATATACAGCCATAGCCTCTGTAAGGCTAGTAGCAAAAGGGGTTCATTACACAAACAGATGCTCATGCATATAACATAAAATCAAACAGTAAATGCATAAATAAATGGCAAAGTTTGCTGCTTTATGTCAATATCATTACAGACTGAAGACGAGGTAGGAGAGATGTCACATGATGTGACAACTTCCCTTCGCAGTGACATAGCTGCACTTCAGTACAAGCGAGACCGACTACTCAGCGAGGTAAGAATATTCTCTTGAAAGAAAAGTGTTGGAATGCTGAAATCCACAGATTCTACATTACAGGGAGTTCAGTTTGAGTCTCATATAATGTAAGAGCTATAAGAAACTAATATAGGACAAAAATTAAATTACACCTATTGTTCAAAAAAGATGCAGAAGAAGAGAGATAATATATTCTCTTCGTGTATAATCAAATATTATTTCTAAGACTTCAGTAGTTAGTGTACTGCTTAATGTTACTAGTTGTGAAAGGTAAAGTTGTCCCTGTGCTTAACTAATTAAGCACTACGCCATGAAGAGGTATGAATGAGTGGGGGTATAGATCCATATTTTCTTGACTTTGTCACTAGTTTGAGGTCAATGATCAGCTTCACACGTTGGTCACTTTAGCTCCAAAGAAAGTGCCCCCGGTACCCATTGTATAGGAGACTTGGTGGGGCCCAGAGCCTGTCTCGACAACGTTGAGAATTGAAAATTCTTGACTCTACTGGGGCTCAAACCCTGACCTCTCAGTCATCAAGCCTATAGCCAGTTACTATACTGACTGTGCTATCCCATAATGTGCAGTTCAGGCTTATGAGTAAAAGTACATTTATCTTGTACAGGTTTTGGTACAAAACAACTAATGTTACTAGTTGTTTTGTACCAAAACCTATACAAGATAAATGTAATTTTACCAATAAGCCTGAAATGCGCATCATTAAGACATATAGACACTAGGAAATAAAGTTTTCTGCATTCTTATCTTTTGCATCAGATGAAGGTAAGAGCTAAGCCTGACACTCTTTGACAGTCTTTTATGCATTGGACAGTGATATGGGTGGTCCCAAGAGCTGTTATAGATGTGATGGTGAAGAGAACTGCACTGGTCCCTAAATTTTTAATAAAATTTCACTTTATGTATCTCATTGCAGTTGCAGGAAATGAAGGGTCAGCTGCGGAGTCGAGACCAACGTGCCCTGGAGCTGCAGGTGGAGACAGAACAGCTGCGGGAGCAGGCAGCACGCCAGAATGCTGTTATTGCCTCTCTCAAGAAGAGGATTCAGGTACATTTTATATGTCTCTTCAGGTACAGTGCTCCTTACATTCTGTCACATTAAAATAAGCAGTCATTTGAAAAAATAACTAATTAACTAACCCAGTGTTAATAGAATCAGGCTAGTACCAAAGCCTTCAATTAAGCACATATGATTTTTATGCCACTTTTATAAACTGTCTATCTTCAGTTTACAAAGGGGATACTTCTAAAATTATGTATACAGTTGTTGACTCTTTGATTCATCTTGCAGTCCATTGTAATCTCCTTGTTGACTATCCTAAAAATTCTAGGTGAGATACACAAATTTTAATGTTTCTTCTTATGTGATATTCTTCGCATCCTTCTACTTCACCTCTCTTCAGTATAAATAATCTCATCCATTTTCATTTCAAACACTTTCAAATTTATGTTTTTTTGCCAAGTAAAAGAGATTGTGTTTCACAGGCGTACAGCTTGATTGCTAAAACTACCGTTTCATATGTGTTTAGTGTTATGAAAATAGACAGGACATCCTCCTTTAGTTGCATATTTAAAAACTAGTAAGATGAGAGACTACAGACTACTTATTTGCATTGCAGGACCTGGAGGAGAGAGAGCGCAACCTCATTGCCTCACAAGGGCGAGCTGAGATGGCAATGCAGACCCTCCAGCGAGAAAACCGTTATCAGGAAGAAAAAGTGAAAGATTTGGAGAAGAAGGTGCTTAGAACGATTTCACCTCCTGCAGTGCAAGTCATTCTGGTGGCCCATGCATCAAGATATTTGTCCTTTAAATATATGTAGCCATAATGTTATATTTTAGCGTCCTGTTGCCCTGAATTATGTCCATGATTTATGCTGACCGCCTTACAGTGCATACATTTATTCACCTTACTCTTCTCTCTTGCACTACATGTTTCGGCACTAAGTGCCATCTTCAGGTGCTTTTCGATGTACGTCGAACTACTTCATTGCATGCCCTGTTGTCTTTATACTAAAATAATTAAAATTAAGTCCTGTGACTGCGTGTGTCACAGGAGCAGGACACAACACAAAGCACAATATACACATGAAAATAGGAAGAATACTCCGATAGAAGAAGATAGGTGTGACTCGCGTATTGAGATATGACATAAGGATGACAAATCCTGAACAGTTTTAATATTTTTAATATTTAAAATTTATCAATATATATGACGAATATATATTTTAATTATTTTAGTATAAAGACAACAGGGCATGCAATGAAGTAGTTCGACGTACATCGAAAAGCGCCTGAAGATGGCACTTTAGTGCCGAAACATGTAGTGCAAGAGAGAAGAGTAAGGTGAATAAATGTATGCACTGTAAGACGGTCAGAATAAATCATGGACATATGTAGCCATTATAGCATAAAGATCTGCCAAGTATGAGAGAGGAAATGCAATACACTAAGATCAGTGCAGGAAGGTGTAGAAGTCATCTGTCAGCTTTTCATGCTGCTTCAGAAACTGAGCAGGTTTGAGAATTAGGAAGGTCTGGAATTGTAATCACCCCCTTCAAGTCTTGGCTGGATTTCCATCTGTCCTGACTAAGAATTTTTATGATTTTCCACAGTTTCTCTAGGAGAATGTTGGACTGTTGCCTTCACGTGGGCCATGGGCCATCTTTCCAAATACTAAGTTACCTATCATTCACGAGCACCCTCCCATTTTATTCTGTGCCATGGAGACTCTGCTGTTGAGACATCATTTAACCCAAAAATTAATAAGTCACTTTGTTGTTTCAGGATTACTAGGTTTTTGGACTTTGGCCATTGTTTGGTATTCTAGAAAACACAAACGAATACAACATTTTCAGAAACTGGATCTGTTTCTGCCCTTGGGTGAGGGGTGGGAAACATCTACTTTGTTGGGTCTATTAGAAAGAGCTACCTCCATCACTGGTTATCTCTTTCTAATGGACCCAACAGAGTAGGTATCTCCCACCCCCCACCTGGGAATGGAAACAATTTCCATCATTAAGACCCTTAGGATCTGTCATGTTGTTTGTTAGAGTATCTCAATGAAACTGAAACTTCCTGGGGATGAACCTGTTTTGAGAGATGGTTTTTCATTATTGTCCTAATTCTTTTTGCTTCTCTACCCATTGTTCAAAACACCACCTGCAGTAAGCTGAGTGATCAGCTAGGTCAGAAAGATCTGACTTGTTTCAGCAAATTTGTAATTTCACAGCCCTTTGTCCAAATCTTGGACTGCAGGCTAAGACATAAGGAATTTAGAAAGTTCTGGCTTGCTCTCAACTATTCATAATGTTGCCATCACCTTGCAGCAACTTTGTTTTACTCAGTCATGTCCAGTAAAGACAACGATGCAATTTGAATGACATGTGGGAACATCCCACATTATCACGCATTTCTGCAACGCTCGCTCTTCACATCACTTTTCACCATCACGCGCGCTAACCAATCAGATTGCTTCAAACGATCGCATTTATACTACGCTCGGCGCTAGCCCGCGTCTACACCATTACGCGCGCTAGCCAATCAATTCTTCCTCCTCACTTTCGAGTTTGGCTCCGCCCCACCGACCAGCGTATAAAAAGGAGCGACTCCAGAGCCGAGTTATTCACATTGCAATGTATGAGGCTGGCGGACCACGTAACCCTAAATTTTAACAATAAAATGTCTACGGCTGCAGTGTTCTTGGACATCGAAAAAGCCTTCGATACCACGTGGCACTCAGGCTTGCTGTTTAAGTTATCAAAATTGGAATTCCCCAACTCTTTGACCAAGCTTATTGGGTCCTTTCTCTCTAAACGTAAATTCAGGGTCTATGTTGAAGGCGAAATGTCAACGCCAAGAGAAATGCAAGCAGGGGTGCCACAAGGTTCTGTCCTTTCCCCCACTCTTTTCAATATATACATTAATGATGCCCCCCAAACCCATGGTATTCATCTGGCCCTTTTTGCGGACGACACATGTCTATATGCGACAGATCGCAAAGACAGTTTTATTGTTAGAAAACTCCAGCGCAGTCTCAGCTCAATGGAGACCTGGTGTGAGCGCTGGAATATAAAAATTAATGAAGATAAGACTCGGGGGGTCTACTTCTCTCGTGGTCGTCGACCGCCTGAGTCTTGTCTTACTCTAAATGGAAGAAACATTCCATTTGTAAATAGTGCAAAATATCTAGGTGTAATCTTCGATAGGAAAGTGACTTGGAGATTACACATAGAAATGATCGAAGCCAAGGCCTTCAGAACATTCATTAGAGTGTACTCCCTATTCAAAAGTGAGCGATTGAGCGCTAACATTAAACTGACCCTCCATAAAGCTCTTATTAGATCCGTAATGACTTATGCTAGTCCCGCCTGGGAGTTTGCGGCAGACACTCATCTAGTGAAATTGCAGCGCCTGCAAAACAAGGTTCTCCGCACGATTGGCAATTTTCCAAGGCGCACACCGGTCCGCGATTTGCACATGGCATTCAAAATTCCGTACGTTTATGATTACATAACAAAATTATGCAGGCAACAAGCAGAAGTCATACAAAATCATGATAATGAGAATGTTCGCAACATCGGACAAGGCGAAGCCCGACACAGAAAGTATAAGAGGCTTAAACTTGGCGGCGGTCAGGCGTACGACCGTTCAAGTGACTAGACTGCCGTGGTAGCTAATACTACTAGTATATTTATATATATATATATATATTAAAAGGGCATAATCTGCTGTACCTAGCCTGGACTGACAGAGGCCGTGTATATAGTGTACATAGAAGTAAGGAATAAGTGTGTATTTGTAAATGTATGTAAATACAGACAATAGACTTAATACAGACTGACTGACAGATGACAGACCCGACCTCTCGTCAGAGAGGGCGCTACACATGGACAGGACGGTAACTTTCATTGAAAAGAAATATCTGGTCATGAGCCCCAGCTGGGGCTCGACACCAAGACAGACAGACTGACCGACCGTCAGTTGTAACATGACCCTCGCCCCTCGCCCTCGCCGAGTTATTCAGTGCAACATCAGTCTACGAGATAGCCACATCAAGCAACATCAGCCAGCAGGCTTCGTCGCCAGCGCTCGGTCTTCGGAGGCATCGGCAGGCTGCGCCAGGCACGATTGCCTCGGCTCTCCAGCGCTCTCACACCCGACTCACTGGGGCACAGCGCCTGGACTCGCCGGTGATCGTGTTACGGTCTGACTCACTAGGCATCTGGCGTAGCCACTGCCTCATGGCTCCTACGACCGCGCTCAACGACTAGCCTTTCACCAGCAGCTGCCGCACTGCGATCAAGCAACCTCCAATTCACGCTGCCGCACGGCAACCAAGCAACCTCCAGCCACGGCCACACTGCGGCCAGGCCACTCACCGCAACTAGCCTTTCTCCTTACCGGCGCGCGCCGCGCTACCTCACCGGTCAAGCAGCAACAGTAACCACGGTCCTTTTCAGGGCCAACAAATTGTTCCGAAGAAGTGGGTTGTCATAGGAGTAATGACAAAGACCACACATATTAAGAGAGCCCCACAGACATCTAGAAATTAGCGCTTATGCTGGCAGAGTCCAGGGAAGGGTTGACTTAATTAGGTTAATATGACTACTCCTAGCTTATATTAAGGGATTAAATGGAATCAGGTGCTTGTGAAAAATCAGTAATGCCTGTACACACAAATAGTCACAAAATATATGGATATGTAGTGACTGAAAACTCCATTGCTTGCTTGGTACTGCTCCTACTGTACTGCTCCCTCTGTCTCTATTGCCTTTACTACAAGTTGTCTCTCGTTTAGAATGGCTCTCATTGATGATGATTTATTTACAGTATTTTCCTCCCTGTAGAGGTGACCTAAATAGTTGTGGCTGCTTGGAATAAAAACCTAGTTTCATTTTGACAATGTGAAAATCTTGGTCTGTCCAACTGAATAATTTAGGAAGTTTAAGCAGAACCAGATTTTCAAGTCACACTCACCAAAGTTGATACACAGACAACAAGTGATGCCTGTCCTCAACTTCATTGGTCTCTCATTCATCCACCTGCAGATCTCATTCAGATGTCCTGGGTCAAGGATTCGTATGTCTGGACTGGGCATTCTGCTGAGTCACAAAGTTACTGCCTTGTACTCCAATAATATCAGTCTAACAACCATCCCAGTCAGTAGCAGACAGTAAAGCCTGCTCCATGCCTCCAGTTCCTCATTTCTTATACTCTGTGAATGCTCAGTTAGCTTTATCAGTTTCTTGTTGAGTAAGTGACCACAGAATACCGACCTGATTTAAACATTTCCTAGCTTCGTTTATGCATGTGACAATATAACGCCACAAATAAAAGCAACACTAAATAGCTTCAGGGGTTAATACATATGTAAGTTATAAATCTACTAGTTGAGGAACCTGGTTGTAGAGGAAAACTGGACTCACAGACCGACAGATTATGGGATACAAACTAATATTTTTTGGCTGATTTCAATGAACTACACTGTCTGCAATGTTGCTTTAGGTTCATTCTTTGGAACTGGAATGCAATTCTGAGGAGGCAATGAAGGAGGCTCAGCGTAAGGCCATGCAGGACCTTGTGCGCAGACTGTCCTCTGCTCTGGGCACAGACTACAGTGAAACAATGCTGTCCTCTCCAGATGGCCTCATTCACAAAGCATCAGATTTAGTTCAAGTAAGACTTTCAGCCAATTAGAATACTAGAGGTATCTTTTAAAAATATGTTTGCATGTTTCAGATTTGTTAATTCCATAATACAAGCAGCATTTATTTAAGTAAGAATTCAGTTTCATTTGAATGAAGACTGTCTGCACTTTGAAAAAAATCAATGAGGGTAGGAATATTTTCTTTAGGCATTGTCGATTTTCTAGATAAGAAAGTTTTGTTCCATCTTCAAATTAAACAGGGCCTATTCCTTGAGGCCTACAGCACAAGGCCAGTGAACGTCATTGACTAGTGTAGTTAGCTTTATTAATCTTCATCCCTAACAATTTATTATCCCAGTTCATGTTATTTCACTGTTGCTTCAGCTTTTTCAGGCTTATATTACATCTGCAATTTTCATTTTTGTATTAATTTTCTCAGAGGTTTAAAAAATAAAATGTCTATGGAAGTACAAATTTCCCACACTTCTGCTCTGCACTGTACAGTACAGTAATGTAGACTGAAAATACTACAATTGTAGCTGTAGTATATTTAACAGGAAACAGCTCGACTGAGGACAAAATCATGCACTGTATCTGACACACTCTCAGCAGTAGAGTCAGAACTGCGAACATGTCGGGAGGCCTTGGAGAGGGCAGTTGCAGACAGAGACTCACTGCAGAGACAAGCAGCTACGCATCTGTTGGAGCTTGACCGCCTGAGGCAGGAGAAGGAGTCACTTGAGATGCAACAACGAGTGGCAGAGAGAGAGCTCATAGACTTGCGAGAAAAGTTATCCATTGCTAACAGGAGCCTGACATCAGCCACAGACAACATTGCATCGCAAGAAACATCCATATGCCAGTTGAGAGGTGTGTTCAGCACCCAGCCTGTCAAAGCTTTTCAGTGCCAGAGATATTACATTTCATAATAATTTCATTTTGTATTTAATTAAATGTACAGTGTATTGAGAAATGTTTCGAATAGGAGTTACAAATCTAGATGGTTTACATCATGTATTCATTTTCTGGATGATCAGCCTTGTATATAGTGTGACCTGATGTTTATATAAAGTATGAGTTACATTGTCTCAGTACTGATCAAAATTAAAATTTCAGCATAATTTTTAAAGTTCACCACCCATGTAATAATTAAATAAAATCTGTTAAAAGCCTTTGAAGTTGAAATGTACTCAGACATGATGTTTCCATTACTTGTTCATTTTATGAACTTAATGCACATTTAACTCACAGAACACACATATAACTTCTGTGTATCTGTAAATATTTCCAGAAATCTCTTAGGCTTGTCAGACTTACCTTGATATCTCCTGTCATATTGTTATGTCTCATGTAAGTGCAATATATGAATATAGAATATGTAAGAGAAATTTTAAGTGCTCTGGTACAATTTTAGATTACTTATGTACACGAAAGAGAATTTCTTGTGATAGCAGATGCTATGTGTCATGCATGTCTTACATCTAGGGATGATACCAAGAAGGCTGGTTCATGGTTAACACTGTGGACTTCCATTTGGGCAGATTGTTCTGAGTTCTGAGTTTCGCATGTTCATGTTCCTTACAGAGGACCTAAAGCTGAAGGAGGAGAAACTTCAGAGGCTGCAGAATGAACTGCGACATCTGCTAGAATCACTGGCAATACAACTGAGTTCTCCTGCCAGATTTGTTGACACCCAAGAAGGAAGCATCAAGGAGCGGCTTCGGGAGATCATACAGGAGAATAAGGATCGACTAACGGTATGTAATCACTCATTCTGTGATATTCTGAAACTAGTAGGCATGATTTACAAGCTAGAAAATCATACCACTATAAGATAATATCATATTCCTAATGGAACTGCATTCAGATTATTTTTTTTTGTAGTGATTGATTTGCCTCTTCTGTTCTTTTAAATAATGACATAACATAATATTCATGCAGTGATGCCATATTATAACAGATAGTTTAACATTTTATATGAGAAATATTAAAGAACTGTAATACCTCAATAACTAAATTGACTTCTGTCATGGATTGATGTTATCCTCATTACTACTGTAACCATACTATTTCTGTGGCCTACCCAGCCTTCTATTTAGTAGGTATGGGGGATTTTGGGGGAGAGGTGAAGTGGGGGCATGAAAATGGCTGCTCACACCCAAGTAGCTCTAAAATCTATAACATATGCTTCCCTTATTTGACTAATAGTGCAGTTTTTAGGTCTAGTGGCAAATTTACCTTCTTTCCTTGTATGAAAAATGTTGAGATAAGGTAAAGATAAAATTGTCCTTGTGCTTAATTAAACAACATGCCATGAAGACATACAAGGAAAGGAGGCATAGCTCCATTTGTTTTTAACCTTGAATGTAAATGAGGGTAAATGGTCAAGTTCATGCCCCAGCTAATTTACCCTTGGTGGAAAAATCTCCTTCCCATGTGGAGGCGGGTTAGAATGCTTTCACCATAGCACTGTGAGTCACAGAAAGGAATGAAAAGGAAACATGTTGCCTGAGGTGTATAACTGGACCACACTGTCACTAGGAAATATATGAGTAACTACAAAGACATGGTCCTCCAGGCTGATGAACGTGCACTGTAAAAGAATTATTGCTGCAAAATCCAAAGAAATGCAGACTTGATGGTCTAATTCATGAGAATTCTGACAGAATCTTGTAAGGAAGGCTATGGCTCAAAATGGGCTGATGATGATGATGGTGGTGGTGGTGGTGGTGGTGCTGGTGAAGGAAGAGGAGGAGGAAGGAGAGAAGAAAATCCCCCAGTAACCATTGAATAGGAGGTTGGGTGAACCCTAAAGCCAGTCTAGACACTATGGAAGAAAGAAAAATCTCATATCCCTGCCAGGAACTGAAATGCAGTTCCCCAATTATTGATCCCATAGACTAGTCACACTACTGACAACGCTTATCCTAACAATTGCGACAAGGATGTTGCAAATTAGAACACTCAGATTCATATTAAATCAGAAAACATCATATTTTTATGTTATTAGGAACAATTCTTTGTAATATTTATAGCAAGTGGAGAACCTGCGGGAGAAAGTGGCTGTGCTGACACAGCAGTTGAACCGCCAGTGTGAACTGCAAGAACAAGCCAAGTCACGTGTGCATGGGCTTCAGGATGACAAAACACTGCTAGAGTCTCGACTGAACAAGACAGAAGCAGAGTTGAGTGCGGCTGAAGCCTCAAGAGATGGGCTGAGACGAGACAAGGCCACTGTGAGTATGTCACATTGTTCATGTGACAGTGACATCTCCATCATCAGTATCAATTACTGATCATAATTATGTATAAATAATGCTCTATACCTGTATGCAACAGATACCCAGTTCAGATCTCATTCAGAATACTGGCTATTCTGAATGATTTTTTTCAATTTCTGGAGTCTGTCTATATGAATGTTAGGGTAATATAGTCTATGACCACTTCCTTCTCTACATATTCAGAGTTCTTGGACATCTTCCCATCTTACTATGTAATGTATGAAGTCAAAACAGCATCATATAATGATTCAATCATCATTTAAATTGTGAACTACTTTTCACCCATTCTGCCTTGAGCTGTCTAATAGTCTCTCAGTCACTTGCTCCAGTCGATATGTGGGTTTTTAATTCTGCAAATCTATCCCTTTACATTCAGTTGACATTGTGAATCTATTTGTTTTGTCTTACACTGGTTCTATTCTTCCAGATGTTTTGACTCCTTTCATAGTTTCTCCATGTACATAGTGATATAACATCAACAGATATCTCTCATCATTGTAATTATTAAACCGAAATATCTTCCAGACTATTAAGTCACATATAAAAACAGAGAGCAATGTTAGAGAGTTTCTGAGATCAAAGCAATAATGAAAATGTTGATACATAACAGAGATAAAATATCAAGCCCTTGCTGGGAATTGAACCGTGTTTCTCCTCAATGCAAGTCAGTATGTGACCTATTTGGATTGAACTGGAATCAATAAATCTATATTTTCCTATACTCAGTTCATGGCTTTCTTGGAGCGCCTTGGCAGAGCTCTCAACATGGAAGAGATATCAAAAGAAGTAGGTGTGGATCTACACACTGAATCACTCCTAATTCGAGCTGAACAGTTGGCAAGACTGGAGAGTGATAAGTTGATTGACAAGGTAAAGTTTGGTTTTGAAGTTTTTTGGTGTTTAATGTAACCTCTTCTCTGTTTCTCTGTGCAAAGAAATTAGACGTTAAGTCACAGCTGGACATATGTTTTTTTTTTCAGACCAGCATTGTACAAAAATGTTCTTTTGATTGATTTTCTTTAGCATTGTAGATGCTATGACAGCATGGTCCAACCAGAAGAACAGGGAGATTGGTACCCCTATGGTTGTTCATTCTCAATTGTATCGTCACTAAAATTAACTTTAATAATGTGATACCTTGTCTAAAGCTGAACTGTGGTGAAGGGCCTTAGTTTTTGTGTCATCACATTTTCTGATCTCTTTCTCTACCTGTGGCTTAATTAATTGAATAAGCACAGAGACAACTTTACTGTACTTACTTCTTTATGTTCTAAGGAATTACATGTGGGTGTGACCTGGCCTGACCAGCCTCTAACCCCTGGCCAGACTGCTTGCAGGCACTTGGAAAATGTTTTGTATTTTACTGATAGCAGTATGGTAATGCAGTTTGAGCCATAAGCAGTCCACATTAAAGACTAGAGCTAGCAGGTATGAAAATTCTTCAAGTCACAAATACATAGAAGGACAGCAGTGGCCGAATTATCTTAGTGTGTCACTACTGGTGCATTGAAAAACAGAAACTTCATTTTTAAAGTCCATTGTACATTTTGAAAATAAAGGTTAATATTATATGCAATGAAAAATCAACGTCTAAGTATCAGGAAATATAACTGTGATAGGCTTAGCAGACCCTACTTCACAAGTTTAGTGTTACCAATACTTTATTTTAAGGCACTTTCCCTAGATTATCTGTAAGACAGCAATCTGTAAAGTATAATGTTGGACCATTCTGCTGTAGTGATTTGCAGTTATTGTGCATTTATTTTTGCATCTCAATGTTTATTCCTGTTGTGTTGTTGTGCCCAGTACTGGTGGACCTATGGGACATTCCCGAGGTTGCGACGGGAACGTTCCTTCCATGAGCTTCCTCTGCGAGAAGTAAGCACTACATTGGTTCTTGCACCAGCGTCACCTCATAAGCTAGTGACACTTTGTGCACTTCTGTTTTTTTACAGGGCTAGTCCTCCCTGCAGGAGGCTCTCACTGTATCTGTAACATAAAGTTTTCCCCATACCTAAGCACCGCGCTATGAAGGCGTGTAAGAGATATGGAGGTAAAGCCCCATGCATTCTAAACCTTGACACTAAATGGAGCTTTATTCTCTGGCTGCTTTATCTCTGCACAAATGGCTTCCAGTATGCTGTGTATGTGTTTATGTTAAGTTTAAGACCTGCAATCAGAAATTTACAGTGTAACAGACTTTTAAGTACCATCAGTTTTAAATTTTTGATGTGGGCTGGAATTTAATACGTATTTGTTCATGTAGTTTACGTTTTAGATGACTGATTAATTGATGGACTGATTGGTTGGTTGGTTGAAAGATTGATTTTTAGGTTATTTTTTAACAAATTTTTCAAGTTTGAAGGATATATAATGAGATGGCAATCAGAAGAAAGGAGGCAGTCATGAGTTTTTCTAAAAAAAAAAACAATAAAATATCTCAGTAAATTTTGTCAATAGCACAGTTCTGGTTCTAACTACGTATATACCTCCTTAATAGTGGACTATAACATCACCACTACACCATCCTGCTCATTCAATGTCTCGGTCCATAGAGGCTGTCACAATACATTAAAGAACAATTAGGCAGTATATATATATATATAAAGAATTATATCTCTATAAATTCTAATAACATTCTGAAGCTCTTTAAGTACATTTCCTAGTACTGTCCTCCTTAAGGAAAAGGCTGCGCTGCAGGAGGTCTAATGAATTACTGCTAAAAGAATATATTTCATTATATTCATGATTGCATTGTAATCAAGCTGAAACAATGAGAAAGCTGGCATCCAGATACACAGTCAAGAAAAATTTCCAGTATTCATTGCAAACACTGAATTATCTTAAAGTTGTTTACTACATAGATATAATACTATTGCATGTTAATTTTCTTTCATTTCATTCACAACAACTTCACTTAGCTATACATCTTGCTCACTTACCTCTCTCAGTATTATCAAACTGCAACACTGGCATCCCAAAATGCTTTAGCTGAACCAAAACGAAATGTGATGTGTCTTCATCCATACTGCCACTTCAAAATATGCTTCATGTTAGCAAGGGAAATGATTGGCATACCATTTTAATCTGCATAGACAGGATAATTGTTGATGATGAATTTTGGAGTAATGTATGAAGCAGTCATTACCTACTTTAAGGAACTTGCTTGCAGGTAGTGAGCAAACTAAAATTACTATGGTCAGGATAATCAGTCACTGGATTAATAGTCAAACTTTGGTTCTCCCAAATACAAAGCAGGAGTACAAATCCTAACATAGTGAAGTGGTTCAGTTTCAAACCTAGGAACAATCATAGTTATTGATACAAATGGATCAGTAGACAAAATACACAAGAGGTCCAAAATTTTGTGGAAGAAGAAAAATATTTCTACCAAAGAGAAATGGAGGTAGCAGTAAATGCAGGATATAATGTAGTGAGGGACCTTGTCATTTATTCCTTGGATAGTGAAATAAGGAAGATTATGGCAGACCTAACATGTATTTAGAGGTCAAGGAAATGAAAGATTTGTGCGTATTTTGAAAAGACATGAATGGAACTGAAGTGGCTAAAGATAGAATCCTCTGGATTCTGTATAATGACAGTGTTAAGAAGGGAGAGCATTTGGATTGTGTAGCCTTGCTAATTCCCCACAATCTTTTGCTGTGCAGACTTCTGCTGTGTACCAGCTTCAACGTCGTGTCCGGACACTGAGGGAACAATTACAGAGGAGAGATCTGCACTTAGATTTGCTACGCAGGAAACTGTCACTGCAGGAAGAGAATGGCAGGGTGCGAAGTCTGCTGGAAACAGAGAAAGATGAAGCAAATCTCAGGTTGGGTTAATATGCCTACAGATAGCACTGATATCTTAGTGACTTACAATGCTATCTCTGTGTATGTAATAGGATTCCAGAGGAGTGGAAAAATGCTATCATGATTATACCCACTCCATGTTTTGTTCCTATTTGTAGCTATCCCATAGCATAAGTTGGAAAGAAAGTCTTTGAAGCATACTTCAGCATATTTTTCTTTCAAGTTAAAATCTTTATTTGAAGTTTTTATCTGTACAGTGTTCATTCTTTCCTTCTCAAAGATATCATTATATGCACCTACAATTATTTTGTGTTTTATTTATGCAATTGCATTGAAAATCGGAGACACGCGTTTTTTTCTAATATGTTTTAAAAGTATGAGATATTTAGGGAAAAGCTTAACGGTGAAGTGGTTAAGTACAGTGAAGGAGCATTGTGCGTTTAATATTGTGTTTCAGGGTCAAGAAGCTGCTGAAACAAGTGGACAGATTGCAGCTTCAGTTGGCTGAAGCGAAGGCACATTCACGAGACCTGAAGACTCAGTTAGCAGATGCAGCTGACTACAAGGTTATGGATACCCTTGTTGCTATTTGGTTCTTGGAATATTTATTGTTTATTGCTTGTGTAGCTTGTAAATAAGTAACTGCGATGTTTGTTAAATGAAGTAGTTTTTAGCCTATTTTAAATTGTTAGCTCAATATTTGCAAAGAGGAACTGAAAAATCTAGGAAAGCCAGTCTCCAAAATGAGATTTATTGATGGTTAATGTGTAAAAATTTGACTTCACTACAACATGTTTTGAGATATAAATAAATTTTTAAAAAATGTAAAAATTCAACTGAACTAACTCTGTCTAAAAGTGGTAGTGATATTTCCTGCGCAGTAGTTACAATGACTGTAAAGCCAAGACTCAGTTTCTGACCTTCTTCTTAAATGTCTCAAGATTCATACACACTAGTTCCCAGATACAGAGAAGTGACAGCCATTATACCAAGTCCATCCAGTGTGTGTGGCTCATGGACATAATGTTGCTTGCAATTGATTATTTACATGCATAAATTATTATCACTATAAAAAAATGCTACAACACATGTAATTATGTTTATTTTAGTAAATATTGGTTTTTAGCTCTGAAAACGTCAAAATCTATCTATAGATCAGCATTAATTATAAGTACTTAAATGACTCTCTGAGGATGGCTGTGACTAAGTGCATTCCTTTTTATAGTTAGATCTCATTAAATTTTAACGTTTAATTCTATTAGAAGATTCTCAGATGGTCATTTATTTTTGTTAAAAAATTGTAATCGTAGTGTGACATTATATTCTCCTTATCAAATTTGTATAGAGTAGAGCTTTGAAATAATTTGTTGCCCACAATCATAATTGAATACTTCAAAATTACTTGGGGCCCTGAAAAGGCTGAACAGGCCTGTATTGTTGTACCAAAACATAGCAGTGTTCTGTATTAGCTATCAGCAAAAAAGAAATGTCAGTTTTATAACTGTCACTATTAAAGCATCTGTTAGTACTCCCTTGTTCACCTGGCACTGCTCAGAGAGACTGCAGGATTATATTTTCTGTTCTAAAATCACATCTTCTAGAAATCATCATATTCTTTAGTACACACACCAACTGTGCACTCTATTGGTCTTGGGAAAAAACGTTTACCCGGAAATGTTGGTTGTTCTTGACTCCTATACTGGTGCAATATGTTGCAGATAACTGCACTGGAGCGTGGACGCAAAGTTGAGGAACTGCAGAAGAGGCTTGTAGAGTCAGAAATGCTGAGAACTCGGTACAACCGCAAAGTGGCCCTGCTCAAAGATCAGGTATGTTGAAAAAAAATATTCCATTGCCCTTCTCTGTTTTCAGTTGAATTGAATTGAATTGAATTTATTTGCATTCCATAGATCCTAAGTAGGTTATATAGAAGAAGTCAAAATAATACCTACTGGTACAAGTAATTTTATCTTAAACTAATATAGCTTAATTCTACATTATTCTCTGTTTACATTGAGGTATTCGTCTACAGAGTAGAAGGAATGAGCATGCAAATATTTCTTTAGCCCTGATTTAAAATGTTTAGTATCATTACTCAAGTTTTTGATACTTTGTGGGAGACTATTGTACACTTTTATGCCAGAAAAGTAGACTCCTTTTTGATATAGTGATAAGTTTGATGAAGGTAGATGGAAGTTATATTTTTGTCTAGTATTCATGTTATGGATATTGGAATTTAATTCAAATTTATTTTTGTTGTACACAACAAATAAGAGAAGCGATAGTATATATTGTGATTGAAGAGGTAGAATTTTTAATTTCTTAAATAAATCTCTACATGAATCTCTACTTCTACATCCTGTAATGATTCTAATTATATTCTTTTTATCTTAAAAATTTTTACACTATGTGAAGAGTTCCCCCAGAATATTAATCCATAGTTCATAATAGAATGAAAGTAGGCATGGTAAACCATCTTCAGTGTTTCCTGTGGCATAAAGGGCTTAATCGATCTCATTGCATAGCAAGCTGCACTTAATTTAGGTATAGTTTGTTCTATATGTATTTTCCAAGACAGTGTACTGTCTACATGTATTCCAATGAATTTTGTATCAGATGCTTTACAGATTAATTTGTTGGCATAACAGATGACCAGATCAATTTTATGGCTGTTTTTAGTTAAGAATGGTATGTAATGGGTTTTATCAAAATTTAGCGGGAGTTTATTGGCTTGCTTCATAAAGCTGGTCAGAATAAGGACAGAGGCTTCTAACAAAGGTATAGCAATTTTAAATACTGCACACCAGCTCTGCACCATGGCAAAAGAAGGTGGGAGCTCTATCAAAGTGACACATCATGGGACTTTAACTGAAATCAGATAAGGTGAGAAATTGAGAACCACCTGTTTATCAGAGTACATGTCTTTGTAAACAGGGATAGAAAGAGAAAATTGCACATAGAGGAGCTTCACAATATGCACCCCTTACCTAATACTGAAGGATGTGATAGGCAGGATGTGTAGCATTTCAGATTAAAGAAGAAAGGCATGAGGAGTTTTGACTAGTAAACATAATGAGAAAACCAAATTCAGAGATCTACATTCAGGTAGAATATTATTGACCCCACAGTTTCATCAAGGGATTCAGGACCAACAGAGACAGATAGAATTCTATGTAAGTTTATGTGCTAATTGAAACATTAATGAACAGCAGTGATAATAAAGAGGTAGAAGTTGGTGGTAGTGACAGAGATTTTGAATGGAAAGCCATGTCAAATTATAGGGAACAGAAACCATTTCTACCTGCTGATAATGAGGACAAAAAATGGTTGTATTGTATATCTATTGAAGAGCTTGAAATATATGAAGTATTCAGACATTTTGTGAAATTATGTGTCTTATTTGACAGGTGCGAACCACAAGCCAGACAGCAGAACAGGAACGCTCTCTGAATGACCACTCATTGCAGTTGCTGCGGGATGAGCTGGCAAGTGTGAAGCAGACTTTGTCTGACTGCCAACACAGAGAGAATTCTGTAAGCTTTAGTCATGTTTTTTGTGTCATATAGAACAATACCCAATGTAAAATTTGCTTTGCTGGTCAGAATTTGTTTTAATCTCTTTTTACATATTGCTTTTACAAAATATGTAAAATGAATGTGGAACGTGTAGCTGGAGGTTGTGTCTGGCTATCCATGTTTCATCTCTAAAACTATGTCATGGATTTTAATAAAATTTGTTATTATAAATTATATGTGGCAAATTTCATTCTGCTTCACATTGTTCATATGAACTTCTTCACTCTTCTAAGAATGACTCAGCATACAAAAACAGTTGTCCGTATGACATAAGATTCATTTCAGTAACATCTACAACTTTATTTGGAACACTATTCTCTGTTGGTATATATTTAACAAACTGCAAGGAAACATTGTTCATGTCAATTCATTGTGATGTCTGCAGTGTGAAAGCCTTTGGCTAGTGAGGCTGAGGCTGTCTGATAGCATGAGTCACTATGCAATATCCTCTTCTGCTATTTTTATGCAATTTTTCACAAAGTATACAAACTCAACATATGATGGGTATATTGTGTAAGTTAGACTGCATGTGTCATCTTCAAAACTATCCAGTAGAATTTTATGAAATTTTGTACTTGGTTTTAATTAAAAATTTTGGGGGAAAATAAATTTCAGTTCATGTTAGTCTGATATAACTCATGTTTTGCATAAAGTACAGATCAAGCTTTATAATTTTTCCCAATACAGCTAATTTTGCAAAAGAAATGGTCCACAACATACAGTATTGATTGCACTAAGACTTATAGCTCTATTGTTGCATTGTACATTGTCACATCTGTAGTGTGAATAGCTTTAAACCAGTAGACTTATATGTGGAATAAATACATAGCAAGGACAGTGAGGTGTGCAGATTTATGAAGTGTGCATTATTTGGAAAACATTTGTATCTTTTCATTCCTGTTTCTGCTTTTCAGCTGCTAAGTTTTCGTACATCAGTGTGCAAGCTGTTGGGTATGGACAGTGGCCTGCCAGACTACGAATTGATTGCACGTCTGCAAAAATTGGTTCATGCTCACCGTGACTTCACATTGGTGTCACGTCGCTATGATGATCCACTTCTGCTGCGAAACAGTCCCCCTGCTGGTGGTACAAGGACACCTATGATGCTAGGGCCTAGTCCTGGGGGCACTCGGACCCCTCGCTATGATGACTCTGGATTCATTGACCCACCTGATCTTAGTACTCTGGATGATAGTGATGAAGTGAATGGAATATACAACAAACGCCCCATTCGGACATCAACATGATAATCATGACCAGAAAGCTGACTCTTGGCTTTCTGGTAGGATTGTGTTTTTTTGCATACAGTTTAAAGTGCATGTTTTTATCTTATTTTGTTGATTTCATTTGTTCGCATTTCTAATTTTATCAAAGGGAGAACAGTTATTGCTTTTATTGGTTTTAAGATGATTTATCAGCTGCATAGGTTATATAATGTTGAGACATTTATTTTTTTTAAATTACTTCAAACAAAGGATTATCTGTGATCCAGGAAACAAAAGTTGGTGGGGTCCTCAGAAGCTATGTGTTGCAACTTAGACCTAGTGTCTTCGAGTTTAGTTCCACATTATGAATCATGTCCTCTGAGTGTCAGGAAGGTTATGTCTGGTACCTTGATTCTTTCTGGGAAAACATATTGCCACCATTTACAATACTTTATACATTTTTATTAAGAATATGTATTAGTGGGATATAGAGTGTAAATTACGAAGATAACATACTAATTGAAACAGCAGCTATATAAAGATTGCAAGAAATCAGGATATATTTTGCAGATAAAAATCAATTATATAGTGAAAGAAATATTTGAGTGCATGCACATGTGTGTGTGTTTTCCAGTGTCTATAGAGTGAAATTATCAACAGCAAATCAATCCTGTGAAAGACAAGCAGAATTATTTCTTCTTCCCTTGAGATGTAATTGCTTCCTTTGTCAATATCTCACTATACCGTAACTAAACTTTAAAGCGTTAGTAACATCCAAATTAAGAGATTAAATTATATTCACATGCTTAAGAGAAATCTGGGAAGGAGAGTCTGAATCACATTTTTAGCTCTATGGCAGTACTTATAGTCACTTTAAAAGCCAGTGCTACCATAAATTTTGGCATAAGTGTAGTATATAATTCATAATATCTTTGAATCTTCTCTGTTAAATTCATAAGGAACAGAAAAGTTACATCTATGTGGTTTCTTTCCATGTCAGTATAACATTATACTCTCATAATTAGAAACAGTAGAATTGATAATTCAAATTGTATCCAGACACCCTACTGCAATACTTCCACTTTGCTTCAACAGCCATACCTTCCATGTATGTATGTATATAACCAAAAGTATAGAGTAAATGCCGGTATAATTGGATATTCTGTATTAGGTTGGTGGTTGGAAAGAGGAAACTAAAAGGAAATGACAGGTAATATATGTGTAATATAAAGCTCATTGAAATTTCAATGCGAAATTTGACAATGCCCATCTATAATTGTAGTTTCCAGAAATAGACTTTCCATTGATCCACTCATATACATCACAGTGACTGAAGAATGCTTTGAAATCACAGTTTCACAGAATATGCAGGCTAGAAACTTTAAATATTCTGGAAAGGCAGATTGATAGGATAATGGTACTATATCCAGAGGTAACATCTTTTGACAAAGGCTGAGACTACAATGTTATTATATACCAAAGACCTTGAGGGACACTTTAAATCACAATTTTGCAGAATATGCACATCTTTAGCTTGAAAATGTCTGGAAAGACGGCTTGCTAGAATAGGAAATTCTACTAGAAAAAGGCAATATTTTTGGCACAGATGAAGACTGCACTGCTAACTGAGGCATAAATACTATTCACTGCCATTTACTGCTGCCACCTTTTGGTACATTTGTAACAATTAACAGTGACTGCTACATAACGATGAAATAGAATATATTACAAATATTGAAAATGTCATGACATCATATGGAGGTCTGAAGATGTTGTAAATTATAAATAATTTTAATTATTATAAATGCATTGTACTCAAAGGTAGATAAGCAAATAGGAAGAAAAGAGTAGGATGTAAGGAATAGATTTGAAATTTTTGAGAAGCATAAAATGGAAACAAAAAAGTGTACAGAAAGAGGTATTTGATAAGGAATTTACAGTTTATGGATGCTTAAAGAAGTAGAATGAAATATTACAAGATTGTCAGATGTAACTAGAAAACTAGAAGAGCTGTAGTGTGAAAAGTGGAACTTACAGATCCGCAGACCCCTTGGATTAAGATGGTTTCCCAAAATGTTAGAGTTACACGTAGAAGCGAAGAGGAGTAGTTTTATTTGTATTGGAAGAAGGATTTATTATTTGTTTATCAGAAGTAAAGGAAAAATAATTTTATTTTTGTCAGAAGAAGGGTATTTATTGATGTTTGTTAATTTGGAAGATGATTTATCAATTATATATATTATATAATGCTGTTGCATTTATTTTTCAAATTTATTTTACAGGTAACATGATAAAAATATGTGAGACAACATAGCTATTTGGATGATTTTTGCTCATTGATCCACCCATGTGTGGAACTAATTCCAGGGTTGAATAGATATGCCATGGAAGTAATAGAATAAATTCATTAGAACTCTACAGTTTTTATCCCTGAATAGAGCTATTTTTACAATGCAGATGAGGTGTCACATACATTTCTAGCAACCATGGGCAGATTGGTACCGACTGGTTATGCAATGAGCGATGCCAGTGTCCAAGTATGTAGATGTGTGATGCCCTCCACAGATTAAGCTCAAGCCTGTCCAACTTGATATCCATCTTTTTAATGGTCTTCTTACATATTCTTATGTCTTTGGATTTTAGTGAAGAGCATGTTTTTGAAGTCTGTTACTATGTGTTCTATTAAGGTATGCAGGTTAATTTATAATGCTGTTTTTAAATTTATTGTATAGATGTTTGGTTCATTTGGTATTGTTTCTTTTTCATCTTTGTCTAAATTTTTACATAAAGCAGCACTTCAGAAACGTAATTTCTGCTGCTTGAATTGCGCTGTTTCTGTAGTTCATGTTTCATGTAATTATAAAAGTGTTACAACTGACATTATTTTATAAGATGTTGACTTCATCGGTTATAGCAATTAAAGTTGTATTGATTACCACAAAATAAAATTGCTTGTGAAGCAATGTGAAAAGAAAGCCTCCTTCAGTTTGCCACCCATGAAATCCCTATGGTTACTTGGTCACTGTAATCATCAGTGGCCTACCATGACTATAGTGACTGGGGTCTAATTAAAGGACACAGTGAGGGCAAGAAGCTGTCGTTTTTATCCTTGATATGTTCCTTATCACATCCCAAAAGGATCTGTCCCGTTTCAGACTGGAAATGGAGTTAAAAATATTTTTTACGAATTTATTTTTAGGGGGTTGGCTTCTTTACGAAATGTTTGCACTATGCTTGTTTGGTAGTGACAGCTGTGACTGAGGTAGAATATTATTNACCAATCACCTCCAACTAGTGCCGAGGTCAAGAAAACGTGGATCTATATCCCCACTACCCCATACGCCTTGATGGCATCGTGCTTAATTAATTAAATGCAAGGACCGATTTACCTTACTTATTGTAAGAGAGTAAAAAATAATGCAACAGTGAAATGAAAGCTCTGATATTACACAATTCCGAATTACCGTAACAGTGAGTTGTCGAGCCTTAACACGCTGCAGGAANACTTCAGAAACGTAATTTCTGCTGCTTGAATTGCGCTGTTTCTGTAGTTCATGTTTCATGTAATTATAAAAGTGTTACAACTGACATTATTTTATAAGATGTTGACTTCATCGGTTATAGCAATTAAAGTTGTATTGATTACCACAAAATAAAATTGCTTGTGAAGCAATGTGAAAAGAAAGCCTCCTTCAGTTTGCCACCCATGAAATCCCTATGGTTACTTGGTCACTGTAATCATCAGTGGCCTACCATGACTATAGTGACTGGGGTCTAATTAAAGGACACAGTGAGGGCAAGAAGCTGTCGTTTTTATCCTTGATATGTTCCTTATCACATCCCAAAAGGATCTGTCCCGTTTCAGACTGGAAATGGAGTTAAAAATATTTTTTACGAATTTATTTTTAGGGGGTTGGCTTCTTTACGAAATGTTTGCACTATGCTTGTTTGGTAGTGACAGCTGTGACTGAGGTAGAATATTATTTTGTTCTTGGTCTGCATATTTCAAATAGAGGATACATGTTTCTGTTCCCCTATATCTGAAAATACAAAAGAAATAACAATCATCTATGACACACACACACTCACACAAACATTCTCGTATACACACACACACATACATACATACACACATGCATACATACATAAATGAGTACTTCTCATATTTCATCTATAGTTGAGCTGACCAAATAATTCTCAAAGATGGTGGGGATAAGAGTTGCTAAGAGAGGGATGTCCTTCCCCCACTCTACTATCCTAGAATGCCTACTGGTGCCCATCGCCTATACCCAGTGTAGAATGAGTAATCCAGCTGATAGAGGTGGAAGAGTGGTGTTAGATTAAAGGGAGCACAGGAAGGGAGGATAGACAGAGTGGAGCACAATACATTGGAATATTTTGCCTGGCTCTGCTATGTTAATACTGTCAGTTGTGTATGTTCAATCAATGTAGAAAGTATAAAATTTGTAGTTTAGATCAGTGTAGGAAAGGTTGGTTGGTCTGAATTCTGTAACATTTTTAGTACAGGTGTTATGCATAGGTCTGAACTTATTTTCATTTTGTTGGACGATAGAAATATCTACTCATTAAAATTCTAGGAAAGCAATGGCCAAGAAGACAATTGCTACATGTACAAGGTGGGCAAGCAGAATGAATTAATGGCATCATCACAACACACATCCTCAGTAACTTCTCAGGTACAATCACCAATTTTTTTTTTTTAATGTAGGGCAGAAGATTCTGCACAAGTATGCTAGTCCTGGAGCCATCATAAAGAAAATGATAATGTTGTTTTTGGAAGTTCCTTTGAATGGGTTCTATTTTTGGAGTTTGAAAGTACATATTGACTGATTACCGACCTATGATGGAAATGGGAAAATTCGTCAAACCACTCAGTTTCTAAGTAGACTTCAAGAAGAAAGAGACAGAGAGAGAAGACGCTATTCCAAAAACTTGTAAATCCTTCAAAACTCGGGTTCAATTTGTTCACGATCACAGTATTTTCTTTTACTACTTATTGTGTAATGGAACAACGGAGGGGTTGGAGTTCGAGTCCCGGTAGGGTCAGATTCCTATTCAGTGGATACCGGGGCTCTTTCTCTGGGGGTAAAGCGACCGAGGCGTGAAGCTGACCAATCACCTCCAACTAGTGCCGAGGTCAAGAAAACGTGGATCTATATCCCCACTACCCCATACGCCTTGATGGCATCGTGCTTAATTAATTAAATGCAAGGACCGATTTACCTTACTTATTGTAAGAGAGTAAAAAATAATGCAACAGTGAAATGAAAGCTCTGATATTACACAATTCCGAATTACCGTAACAGTGAGTTGTCGAGCCTTAACACGCTGCAGGAACGTAGGTTATGTAGTAGTTCATGAACTAAGGTGCAGGTTTTTTTTTTTCGTTCTTGTTTTTGTTACAGTGTATTTTGTCTATTCTATGAGTACTGATAATATCTTAATGTGGATATGTGAAGCATAATACACAACATAAACTTAAGGGGGGCAGTTTACGAATGAATGTGCTTGTTAATCGCTCAAGACAGCGTTAAACATCGGCCTTCGCGTATATTCAATAACGTGTAGGGCTGGAAAAGAATCCAGAAGAAAATAAGGGATGTTAATAGTGTAAACGCTTAAACTTTCCGTCGAATTCTCAGCAAGTACTTTGTTAAAGCATAAACGCAGTTAAAAAATTCTTGAAGCTTTAGATATTGTAAATATTATAGACACAGTAAGAGAGTATATAAACACTTGTAGTTGGTATAAACACATTTTTGAAATGGATCCAGATTGTATAAATAGCTCTCAAAATTCAGTATAAATACCTCACTTCTCAAGTAACCAGTTTTACATTAAATTTAAGCTCTGATGTATGACATCATTACCGTACGCGAGTACGCCTGTTGCAAGATGACAGTGCGTTAGGTTGAATCTGGCTTTCACTACTTCTTCTGGATAAGATTATGCACAAAATTACGTGAAATTACAAAAGAAATATTTATATTTATTTCATTTAAAATATACAATTGTGATATTACAATGATGCGTAGATGTGAGTTCAGTTATGTTGTTAAACAGACTTCATGCAAGTATTCAATCTGAATCGTAATATTTAAAATCTGAGATTCCGCGATATTGATATTTGAAATTGGAACATTTTAATTTTAATTATGGTGAAGGAAACATGAATATACATTTTGCAAACAATATGTTTCAAGTTGCAACAACAATATTTATTCTTCTGGTAAGTAGGGTGATAACGCTTGACCCTTCTCTCGTCTCTCTGTTCAGCACGACAAGCAGCGTCTATGTAAATCTGCTTCTCTTTCCAACTCTGCCGCCTCCGTTATCTTGCATCTTTCTCTGTCATTTCAACGGATGAACAGCCTTTCATTTACTCCTTGATACATACGAGTACAGAGTAACTGAAGAACGGAATAATATTTGTGCCATATATTTCTCGCGTTATCCGTCTGCGCTTTCTTCCATTAGTAGCCTTCTCCATATAGAAGTTGTGCACGTCTGCCTACATAACACGCTTATACGTGTATCTAGTCGAGTGTGTCCTACATAGGCAGCGCTTCCCTCTAGATCAGCGCCGCCTTGTAATCGAACGTCTCCTTCTGGACGCCCAACACTCTGTCTAGACCCACACTTCGCCTAGGCGAACGATCCTACAACAAAATAATCCTCTTCCACTATACGAGTCACTTCCTTCAAATGAGAAGTTCGTTTAGCTGAATTTAAACGTATGCCATTCTGTCAGGGGAACACAATGGCAATAGTCTGCCTCAGTCTTTTGCTGTGTACCTACCTGCGGTTAAGTGCAACAGTTAATTTAGTTGAATCACTCCGTTTGCATGTTTCACTGTGGTTGAATGTGCTACTTTCACTGTATGATGTGCTTCGTGTAGCAGACCTACTTCGTCTAGATAAACGCATCTCTTCTGATAAACCAGCTTCTCCTCGTAAGTCATCATTTTTTCGACAATTCTCTTAATATTAACTTCTACGTGGTAATTCGAATTTTTTCAAAGAAACTGAAGAATTCATCTGAGATTTATCCAGCGGACATGATCTCGACTTATTTATTATGTTTCCATAACTTAATATACAATAGATAAACCAGTTGTTTTAGGAAAGACTGCAACGGATCATTTGGTTGAAGGACCTCGTACACGTTGATACAAATTTCGGTATATTCTAATGCAGGGTCAAGTGGTCAGAGTTCATGGCTTCCGATCCAGAGGTCCCTGGTTCGATTCCAGGGGCTACCAGATTTTCTGATATATAGTGGGTCTTGAACGGGGTCCACTCAGCCTCCTCAGGATAACTGAGGACCTATTTCAAGGATATAGCGGCTTCGGTCTAGAAAACCGAGATTAGCGGCCGTGGGGATTCGTTGCGCTGACCATGTGACGTCCTCTATCCGCAAAAGTTGACACTAACTTCGCCGACAAGCGGCGGTCGCTCGGTCGGTATACAGCACTACAGGCCACGGAGTTTTTTATAATGCATATTGCAATGCGTAGGAGGATATTTGAAGAGGAATTTTCCAGTGGCAGATGGTTGCGATGCATGCATAGGGATCTTATCACGGACTCAATACGATGATACCTAGAAGCTGATACCGATAACTATATCATTATCTCTGTAATACAAGAGCTGTAAGCGTAAAGAAAACGTAACACGATGAACGGTGTCCTTAAAGGACTGTTACATCTCATGCATATACAAGTCCCCACTCGATTTATTTTTCAGACATGACGGTTTCCTGTAATTTTAACCGAAGCAGCTAAGGCCCCCCATACACACACAGTTTGGCCTGCCGATCGACCTGCAAGTAGAACTGACGGACTGACGGGTTTCCTACAGTCCAAATGATTGGCCGGCCGGCCGCACCACACACGTCAGTTTTGCCTTTCAGCCTTGAACTGTGCAGGCCGAACGGGAGGCCAAACTG